CAAAGAGTAATTTGCGAACACATTGAAACCTTGTCAAAATAGCACCCGCCCCTCCCCCTCCTCCTGGAGGACTCTTCTTCGTACGATTACGAGTTGACTTTGCCATGGCTGTGCCACTTTGGGCAACTGTCACTTGATTCTCTTTTTGTTTTCTTCACTGTATCAGGCTTACACATGTTCAGCTTGCGGAATGTCAGTGCTTTTAATGCGTTTTTTTCCTTTTAAGTGGACAATAGTGTATAGTTAGGGGGATTAAACTGAGCTTTAAGTGAAAGTCTGTCATTTTACATTTTAGTTTGCTCGTTAAAACACATTTTGAAACCAACAGGGTTTTGATCTTATCCGACCCGTATTTCTTCAGGTGGTTTGTGATGGGTCCTGCTCGTTCAGGCACTGGAATTCACATAGACCCCTTGGGAACCAGTGCATGGAACAGTCTTGTATCGGGACACAAACGATGGGCCTTGTTCCCAACAAATGTTCCCAGGGAACTCCTCAAGGTCACCAGTGCAGAGGGAGGTGATCAGCGAGATGAAGCTATCACGTGGTTCACAAAAATTTTCCCTAAGACGCGGTTACCCTCCTGGCCTCAGGAATATAAACCCGTAAGTACTTTGACCGTTTTTAATATTTGTCTCCTTTTGAACTGTTTTTTGTTGTTGCTGTTGTTTTTTCACCACCTGCTTTTGTGTTCTTTCGCCACCATGATGTTTCGCTACCGACCAGTTCGCCACTTTCTTAGTTTGATTCAGTACTGTATCATGGTCAATTCGCCGTCGAAGCACATATATCGAGTTTATATAAACTTAAGCTAACTTTTTTTTTCCATGTCATCTTTTAGCTGCTCTTAAACTATTTATTAACTACTATGACGCATCAAAGCGACAAAAGCTAGCATTTTATAAGTACATGGTAAAAAAGTGACTAGCGAAGATTGCTTCCAAGTATTGGCGGTACGCCCAAATTAGGGAAACAATTTTGTGACAGAATGAGCTGAGCGACTTAACACATAAAACTATGAAGAACGTTATCCAACCAGAAGCACTACAAAGTTTAATTTAACGCAGAAGTGTTTTCAGTTTAAGGCTCGCGTTGTTAAAAGCGCCAGGCCCAAAAGAGACAGAGTAGCCTAGTACAAACAGCGACCAACGAGTTTAGACTATGTGTCATTATAAATATGTTACCCCCAAACAGTGGCGTTAACTTACGAGAGGTTCCAACTGTAAGGCTTTGAGTTGAAAGATTTTGGTGTTTAGGAAGGGTAGTAGCTTACGAGAGGTGTTCTCATAGGGGCGAGTGTGCAACGCAAGTCGAATTATTACCATAACCAAGAGAGTATAATGGAACAGACAGGGAATCTTTGGACGTTGGCCGGGATATGTGAATTTCACTAAAGTTTTTTTTAGAGATTCTAACTAAACGGAGGTCTTATTCCTGGGATGTCCGCAAATTTAAGTCGATTGTCTCAAACATCATCAAGTCTGCGCGGGACTGTCTCGAAGCAAACAAATTCAGAATATTGTAATGGCGACTGTTTATTGAATTCTCTCTTGACAACACTGAATAAAAGTTTGAGGACCTCTCCGGAAACCAACTTTCGATTAATTCAATTGTTTGATCGGTCTAAAAATAACTTTGGTGACATTCACATGTCCCCAGGACTAGACTTGGCGTCTCCCTCTCTCTGTCTCCCATTATTCTCTCTTGGCATAAAGGTGATGTAACACTAGACGATTCGCAACATCGATTTTTAGCGCAGCACAGCGTTACAACGTTTGTTACGACGTTGTTTCGAATCGTTGCAACATTGTTCCAACATTGCAACGCTGTTTTGCGATAAAAGTCGTCGTTGCAAATCGTCCCGTGTAACATCACCTTATTAAAACTGATTTTGTCCTGTGGAGTAACATGTTTCTGTTTCTGTACTCATTGAAGCTTGAGATTCTACACTGTCCTGGTGAAACAGTGTTTATTCCTGGCGGCTGGTGGCACGTGGTCATCAACTTGGACGCAACAATTGCTGTCACTCAAAACTTCTGCTCACCAGTCAACTTCAATGTTGTGTGGCATAAAACCGTCAGGTAATAAATACATTTAGATACTCATTGCCTTCTGATAAAATATCACGACTGACTGGCTTTGCTTTTGTACTTGTAGAACGGGCCCTATTTTTTCCCGATTTTCTTGCGAGCGAAGGCAAGCGCGAAGTGGGAGCAGAATTTCCTTTGTCTTTTGTGTGTGTGTGTGTGTGGAAGCGGGGGGGATATGGATATTTTCTGAAACTACTCGATGTGATTCTATTCAAGAATAAGGTCAATCGAAAGCAACCTAAAACACACAAGCCCCAGGGGGGACTCCCCTACGAAAGGGGCGGCGAGGATACTCGTCGGAAATTTTAAATTAAACCCCCAAAGGAGATCAATCTGGGCGTGGCCCAACTTTTTTTTGGCCCCTAAAAAAACTTTGATTACATGAATCGAGGAAATATAACGAATATAATTAAAATATGTGATTATTTTATATTTCTTCGCGTGCTACCCTGAAAGAGACCTTTACGGAGACCAAAATCCGAATTTACACCCCTAAGCGAGACGACAAGCATCCCCGGCCCTTTCATGTGGGAGTCACCCCGCCCCCCCGCGGAAGACAAACTCTTCCGATACCTTTTTAACCTTTGTCCTCTTATAGTTGTTTCAATATCAAGTAACTTTTATCTTTCAGGGGAAGACCAAAGTTGTCCCGAAAGTGGTATAAGAGGTTAAAGGTGTGTTTGCTATGATTCTAGTACTTGCCTACTTTGATTCCGAGTCGTAATTATTTTAAAGAATTTTTGCATAGTTCGCACAATCTTGAAAAAGGTCTTGAATTTTAGCAGTCGTCTTGAAAAGTCCTTGAATTTGGTTAAAGTCCTTTGAAAAGTGCTTGATTTCTTTATTAGGTCTTGAAAAGTCCTTGAAGTTCACTACCTTATCTACGCCATACACCATTTTCTGTAAAATTAGATTATTTCACTGCGAAAATTGAGCTTATCCTCTATGTAAGAACCTGTAAAATTCACGGGTACGGTAATAACATTTTTGTGGATATACAGTATTTTATTTCTGTTTCTTTATTTGAAATGCTATTTCTGTACCTCAGATTCATTTGCAAGTCATACGCGGTCATTTTGCAAAGTGTTTTTTCGGAAAGTAGCATAAAATAATGTTATCAACCATGGCTGAAGAAGAACAAATCGTAAATGACGTGTCTTAGCCAATAAGGTGTTTCAAAGGCGGGTTAAATATGCTGATTTATTGAATAAACCGTAGTCCTTGAAAACTGTAATTTGTCCTTGAAAAATGCGGGAAAAGTCCAAGAGCAAGGGCAAGGGTGGCGCAGTGGAAAGAGCACTCGCCTCCCACCAATGTGGCCCGGGTTCAAATCCCGGCGTCGACGCCATATGTGGGTTGAGTTTGTTGTTGGTTCTCAGCTCCCTTGCTCCGAGAGGTTTTTCTCCGGGTACTCCAGTTTTCCCCTCTCCTCAAAAACCAACATTTACAAATTCCAAGTCGAGCAGGAATCAGGTAGACGAAGAACCACTATGTGAATGCGCTACCTCCAAATCGGTATCTATTTTCTTTATTTATTAACTTAGCTTGTCTCTAGTTGTAGGAGCCATGTCAGTTGTTAAAGTCAAAATACTTCTTGCATTGTTTTTAGTTGCTGTACCACCAGTGCCCTAACAAGCTCCCGGTGCGAGTTCTTATGAGGGAGCCTTAGCAACGACAACGGCGACAGCTGCGAGTGCGGCAAAAGGCAATAGGTTCAGATTGGCTAAACTTTTCTGAAATAGGTTCAGATTGGCTAAACTTTTCTGAACTTAGATCATAGTCCTTTAGAATTCAACTCTAGAAAGATTCGCACACATTGAACAAATCAAACAAGATGGAATAAGAGTGAAGAAGATTGACTTTTTGAGTGACGTTTTCGCTGCCGTCGCCGTCTTAAATGCTAAAGTTCCCTAAATTGACGGGTGCGCTGATTTGAAACTAGTCTAAGACAACTTCATAGTCAAGTGATCAAATATGTGTCTGCTTTTTGGCTTTGTCCCATTAGAGAGAAAGACCAGAGATAGCCGAGATAGCGGACGGCGTTCAAATAGATGAGCCCACTGGAGTCCAGTCCGACTCGTCCTCCTCTGCCTCGTCCTCATCGTCGTCGTCGTCATCATCGTCCAGTGAGTTGTCGGAGACAGAGACGTCAGATTCCGAAGGCGACAGGTGTAAAGAGAAGGTTAAACACAGCCCCTCACACGGAGAAAGACGAAAGCGAAAACGGTAACATGCATTACATAATATTTATTAAGCCCCAATATCCAAATACAAATTCTCCAGACTGATCTCCATACATTTCCTTAAAGAATTGGTTTAGAGAATTTGTTTGCTGATCAAAGCTTTTCCCATCAGGTGATCATTTCATTGATTCTCACAACATTTTCTCTAGATTATATATTGAAAATGTCAAGAGAAAATTAACTTTGGTCAGCCTTGGGTCTTAAAGGGTTAAGACGTGCTAGCGCGAATCAATGGCACTACTAAATGTGTAATTTTAATGCGGTTTATCTTTTTGCTATCTTCAGGCTACTGATCAGGACCCAGTTGTTCTAAGGCCGATTAGCGGTTTACCCGGATAATTTTCTCTGTAATTTTTAGAACTTCCAATTATCAGCTTGTAGACAAAAAGAATTAAAACTGAAATGCTTTTTAAGCTTTCAAATCTGAATTCAAATCTCGCACCAACCCTGGGTTATATTAACCCAGCTTTGAACAACTTGGCCCAAGGGGAAAAGGGCTTTTTGTGGGTTTTATTTTCCAGTTTTATAGCATTAATGTGCATTTGTTATTTATTTGTCTTTTTATCTATCTATATATTTACTCATTCACTCATTAATTTCTTGATGTATAACATTCCCTATGACATCCACATTCCAAATTAGTACAGAATCGAAATTATAAAAAATTATGATATTTATTGTTACAATTATCTTATTTAGGCAGTCCATTTTCTTTCGTCAATAGGTTATGCCCATGTAAAAAAATAAAATCAGTCATTACCTGCGTATTAAATGAATGGAATCCTACCAGGTCACAAGACTAAATTTTCATGCCTATTTAGTTTTACTTTGTAAAATATTATTCTCTTAATGTCAGGCCAAAGTTGAATTCCCCGGTAACGTCTAGAGATGAACCTTCATCTTCTCCCAAACGTGGCAGATGACAGCAATTAAGGTATGATGTGTTAAACTACATTTCGCCGTTATTATCCAGTTTTGAAATCTATAGAGTTATTACTTTGGAATTACGGTGTATCCATAAGGGCTGTAACCTGATTGCACTGGGGGTGGAGTGGGGGTAGCCTCCCCCGCAGGCATTTTTAGGGGAGCTCGTATACGAGCCCCCCTAAAAATGCCTGCGGGGGAGGCTAGAGTGGGGGGAGAACTGGGAAAAGGTGTGGAGGTATCTATTTTTCAAATCAATCTTTTTATCCTACATTTCCAGAGGGGATATTCACCAAAGATTTATACGGGGAGGTTCCGCCCCGAGGTCCAACCCCTCACCCATTTATATATCATTTTTGAGAGAAAAGGTACCCCTTTCGTGTACCTTCTATTAACAATGCTACCCCTTTCACGTATCTATAGTTTAAAAGTTTTCATCCCTTTTAACTGCCTGCCCTCATCCCTTATAACCTAAGACGACAGCGCCTTTTTAATATGCCAAAGCTTTGCACGAGCAGAACAAGTAATACTTTTATATATGCGATGTCGAAACAGTCCGGGCTGTAGTTTTATCACACTTATATTCATGCTTTATATTTTAACATATTTCAATATGAATATGTTATATAAAATTTTTAATATTATCTTAAAAATTAGTTTTCGACTTATTATCTAGGATTCATTTGTAATTTTTAAGTATTGTAAAGTTTTTGTAAATAGTTGCGTAATTCAGCCTTTGACTGCGATGCAGTTTTAATAAACTAGCTATTTATCTAACTGCTGTAAATTCATTGTCTTTAAAATATGAGTAAATCACAAAACGAGAATAAAATGTATCTGTTTGCCCTTTTAGTCGTTTTTACAACCCGAAATGACAGATTTCCCTACACTTTTATACACTTAGCTACACTTTAACTAGTGAAATCTCCACTCTTTCATATACCTCAAACCTAACAAAGGTACCCCTTTCGGGCGGAGCATCCCAGTATGGGCCATTACAGGGAGTACCCCCACCGGGGTGGAGCTTATATTCTCTAGTTTATGAAGGTTTGATTTTTTTCAATTTCATTTCCTTTCCAGGATTAGTCCTTGAATGTTTACGATGGGAAAAGCAACAGCCTAATAAGTTATTGTAAAGAGTTCGACAGACAAGTTACGTCTGTAATTTATTTCGTTAGAAAAGCCGTGGATGTTGATTTTTTGCACCGTGCTAATGAGTTACATATGAAATATTATTTAATGAAAAAAATTTATGTGAGATAATCTGTGTTTATCTCATCCATAATTTTGTCATTTTTGTGTTGAACATATTTTCTCCTTGGTCCCGTTGCTCAAAAGATGGTTAATTTTAACCTGGGCTTCGCTAAATTTGAAGCAAAGTTTTCTCGTTCGTGGTACCGGAACTTATAAAAATTTATTAGCTTAAACTCAGAGACCCATAAGATATGCTTACCGGAAAAGATACCCAAATTATTGTATAAATACTGGTGTTAAACCTAATTTGAACTCTGAGTTGGAACTAACCGTCCTTTGAGAAACTGGGCGCTGATGTCGTTTATTTCTCTGTGATTGCTGCGTGTTCACAATTCGATAACTCTTATTTATTGCTTTCTCGAAAACGTGGTTTATGGATACATTTCGAGGGGGACAGATAACAAAAATTGTTGGAAGTATCTATAATGATATAATGATATAAAGGTGCTTGTATTCATTCCTGGTGCCCTTCAAAAATGAGTGACTTCTATTGTCGCCGTTCTCTTTCGTGGTTCAAACTGGACTATTTTTACGTCAGCCAGAAAACAAAAAAAAAACATTCCTTTAGGTTTTCTTCTCGGGCTACTCTGCCCACGTTTGTCGCAGTTAAAGGCCTCGCCGCTCGCTGCTTAGTGTTAGAGTGGTTACCCTTCACCCACTAACTTTCAGCAAAAGGGGGAGCTCGCTGCTTGCCGCCTCAGTTCAAATTGAAAAGAAAAAATGATAATTATAACAACTGTAAACGTATTTTACTTTGTGAAATAAGAGATATCCCCTGAAGTCCTTGTCCTGGGTAGAGAAAAGCAGTTTAGCATTTCATGAACGAAATGATCGTAGGCAAAACGTTTGCCGCGAATACAACCGTTGATTCAGATCCAGAATTTTTGGTTAAAATCTTTTGTTGTCACCTATTGAGAGCTATTAAGTCAAGTGTAAGCTTGAGTTGCTAGCTTACCTAGTTTAATTGCAAATAAAGGATATTGCCATGCACCGAATACAGTGTATATTTTTGAGCGAGTACAGCAAAATGAGCGATGATATGTGAAGCGGAAGGAAACGAGTTAAAACATTGGTGTCGTCATCAGCTTTACCGGCCATCAGATAACTTTGACATCTCATTTATGCAGGGGGAAGAAATATTTCAAACTAAAGAAGCTTGAGTTAGTCAAACATTCCACCCGAAAAAGAACGCGAAAATACTGTGTAGTTGACCCGAAAATTCCAATGACATTCTTGTTCTAGTAACCACCTGCACTCCCTTCGAAGTAATCTTGCGATTCTCAACGTTTTCCTCAAAACTTTCCCACCAAAATGAAGCTTAGTAAATGCCGAAAGAAGTGGAGAGGAGAAGAAGTAACAGGTTAAAGTCGAGGGAAAAGCGTCACACTTTACCTTGTGCGCATGCCCGAACATGGCTAATGCAGTGGAACCTCGTTATAACGAACCTCTATTTAACGAAGTTTTTGGTATAACGAACGATTTTCTTTTCCCCGGTAACGAACCCTCGTTACAGCGAACACTAACACGTTTTGCCAGTCCCTTGGCCCTTCGTTATAGAGAGGTTCCACTGTAGTTAGCTTCGGGAAAGAAAGGTAGCCCAGCGCTCAACATATGAACAGCGTCTTTTTGGGCCTTTTTAGCTCTATTTGCCCGACAGTAACCAGAAAACAGTTTCAAAAGACGTTCTTCGGAAAAATTTCGAAGAATGAATTTATCAAAAGTAGGTTGAGTTTGATCGTCCGGGTGAACGTAGTCCTGAATAGGACTGTTGTTGTTGACAGTGACTGACGTTTCGACAACCTGTGCGGTAGTCATCTCCAGAGTCAAAGTGAGGTGTATCACGTCAGTTGATGGTATTATACTCTGGTTATTGATCTGATTGGTCAATTACGTCGCGATGTTATTGGTCGTCTGTCAGTTGAGCCGTGATGTTGTTGGCTATGAAGACTCGTAATCAGTAATTGGTGCGTTTCGATCCGTCTATTGTCACAGTTAAACAACCCTATCTTCAAATTCTCCAGGAAAGCAGTAAATTACTATTTAATTATCATTAAATGTTGTGGGCTGGAACAAAATTTATTTCACAAATGGCGCCGACAACAAGTGCGCAGTTTCCAGTACTTGCTCATGAAAAGAATGACCTTTAGCTTTGAAGTTATTCGCTTAGTTTCAGCGACTTCTGTCGTTGGATGGGCAAAGGAGACCGCTATCAAACGAGAAATCTTCTAACTGCTGTATTAAGTCTCCTGAGAAATTTATCTTAGGAAACGAAAACAATCCGCGCTATCCGGCGCAATCAGTCGTAAACTGTCTGGAATCCCAAGTGTTTTAGTATAAATACCCGCTTTGAAGAGGAACTGGAATCATCTCAAATCTCTCTCTTCGCAGTAGCCAGCGTTCGTCCTCGTAAAGATAGATTATCAAAACAACACCAGCCACAGGAAATTTATCCCAAAAATTGTGTCTTGCCAGCAAGACATTTTCCATCAAACCTATGGTGGCCTGTTGATTTGCCCAGAAACTCGTCTGAAAACTGATCGGTGATTGATAAGCGTTTAAAGCTTCCTATCATGAGTAATTTAGTGCTTCCCTGGAGAATTTTAACATAGGGTTGATCTGCAGTGTTTTCTCAAATGATAACTATCACATGCTACAGAACACTTACTCTCAGAATGACATAATCAATATGATTCTTAAGTTGCTCTACTTTTCTGCATAAAATTTAATCAACATTTTAGGGCTCAACCTCAAGTCAATAATATTTATTACACATTAAGTGAGAAATTTCAATTTTTCATTACTTTGCAATAGATGCGTCAATTGTGATGCAGCAAAAATCAATCGCCTTTTTATCTTCCCTACTCTGTGTACTTAAGATGCACTCAATTATGCCTTTAAAGGCTTTGTTCTGAAACAAAGCCAAACTGTGAATGTTCAATTAATATTGACTGGTGAACGAGAGGACTGTTTTAATACATCCAACTTTAATATTCATAGCCGGAAGAAATGCTTCGCAGCTGCCTCAGCAAAGATGAGTCAATATTGAATTTCATTTCATAAATTTAATTATACTTCATTTTCACTTCGAGATTTTGATTACGTTTTACTTTTAAGTGTCAGAAAGTGAGCCGTTTGTTCAGTTTACCTTGAGGAAAGTGCCATCGTTAGCTGATCGTAAATCTTAAGCATTGAAGATCTAAACCAACCATTTTATCAAACACTTAATCAGAACTTGATAAATGTCTGATTCAGTGAATTGCACCGGAGAAATATCTTGTATTTCAAGCTTAGTTTTGGGAATTCTTAACGGTGTCTCCGGGTTCGCAGCAATAACGGGAAACTTTCTTGTGCTAATGACTTTCATCAAGAATCAGTCACTCCGAGAGCCAAGTTACTACTTCATGACTTCCTTAGCCACTGTGGATCTCCTAGTCGGACTGGTAGTCAACCCGTTCTACGTTGCAATTACAAACTTTGTCTCTTGGCAGTACAGAGAGGAGCGACTACTTCAGCTGGAAAGTTTTTTGGCAATGACCGCTTCCACGATTATCATGCATTCACTCACTGTGATGAGCGTCGAAAGATTCATTGCCGTGAATTACCCTCTGAGATATCGCAGTCTTGTCACAGAAAAACGAAGCTGCATTGCAATCGCATCCGTATGGACATTCGGCCTGTCTTTCAATTCCGCATTCTTCGCTACCAGCAACGATGACTTGCCAAACATGTGGATAGGATGTGGAGTCCTTAGTGGACTGATTCCCATGACAATCATCTTCTTCTGCTATGGAAAAATTTTACGAGCTGCGCGTACTCAGTCGAGGCGTATTCACGTCGCAGAGGGATGTGTTTCAAATTTAGATTTGCCCTTCGACTCCGCCGAGGGCAACAGGCAAGTGGATAATCCGGTTAACATATCAGTAGCGAAGGAAGTCCGGAGGGCCAGGAAGACAGCTTGGAGTGTGGCAGTTGCGATAGTTGTAGTAATGTTTCTCTCCATGCCAGCCATCGTAGTCAGCATCATGCAGATTTTGGTCTCCGACGATGTGTGTCTTTTTAGGCAAAATAATCGAGTTTGGATGTGGTGTGCTACACTGTCTCTTGTTAGCTCGGCGCTGGACCCGTGGATCTATGCGATGAGAATAAAGGAGTTTAGAGATTGTTTTAAGCGAACTGTGCGCTTAAACTGACGCTCAATAAAAATAATAAGTCTGGACTGAATATTTGAGCCAAAACCGTTCGCAAATACCGTAAAATTGTGAAAATAAGCCCCGGGGCTTTTATTTTTCAAAGGCCCTTTTTGAGGGGCTTATATTCGGAGAGGCTTATCTAGGGAGGGAAATTTGCCTTTCAAAATCAATTGGGCTAGCCTTATTGTTGGAAGTAAATTTACCGTTTTTGCTTTGTTTTACTTTGTATTTGTAATTGAGGGCAATTTTCCGAGTACAAGCCCCCGGAGGGCTTATGTTTGGAGGGGTGATTTGACGCAGGGTTTTTTGCGCTACCGGTTTGGGGGGCTTATATTTGGAGGGGCTTATACATGGAGGGGCTTATTTTAGGGATTTTACGGTATGAAAATAATGCACTTAAACTTCACCTTCAAAGACATGAAGAACATGAAGGAGGAAGAGTACTTGTAAAAGTCATTCTATGTCTTTGAAATCTTAATAAAAAAATCTTTTCTAATTTCTGTTTTATTTTTCCTCAATTTTCGCGGATATTTTTAGCGTTCGTTAGGCTTCGCGCCACGTGCTTGTTCCCGTTTATGATGGTATCAATGTTTGGAAGGAGAGGCGGGTACGTGCATAGGTGCGGCATTTGAATTATTTCGCATTTTTGGGGGCAAATTCCCGACTCTTGCGACTGGAAAATAGTTCAGATGTGGTAAAATATCCCTTGGTGGGGTTACCAAAAACATAGTTTGGGGTAAAATTTGTGGTCAAAATCTCCAGAGATGGGACAAAGGAAGTGTTCAATTGCCGCGCCTATGCCCGTACCCCTCCCCCCAACCCACTCCTCTTCGTCTAGACATTGATACCTGCATTATTATATTCGACTGGCATAGCGCGAATCTCAAGAGAGAAGGCGCCTGACTTTATCCATAGAAATTTTCCTTTCAAATGTTGGTTGTAATCTGGTTGCTATAGGCCTATCATAAAAAACTGGCGAACCTCCGATCTAGGGAAGTATTTGAATATGTAAAATTATTCAAAAAGCAAGACACTCTCCTCTTATGAGGTTAGCAGTTTAGTTTTATAAGTCTTTGTTCCCTGCCTCACTAGAAGAACTGCTTTTTGGTCAGCTTATTACAGATTTCCTATAAATATGGTATTTGCAGCTTATTAACTGGAAAATGCAATTTTGATGTTGTCCTGGTTGCACCCTTTTTAAGCCCCATCGTGAGGGTTTTGTATGAACCGCCCGGCCTCACCATGGGGCATTTGCAGTTTTTCTAAAAAGAAATGACAAATGCCCGACAAATGCCCGGGGAAATGACAAATGCGTACCCTTGGAATTGAATGAGCCATAAAATCTAAGATCGACAAGATCAGATAAAAAATCGGTATCCACCTCCATGACCTCCGTCAGAACTGATTATATCATTATAGGCTTCTATCTTCGTTGTGATCCTTTCGACCAATATTTTAATTAAAATCCGGATCTGGATTTCAATAAATAAAGAAACGCACCCTGATTACCTCAGAAAACAATTTCGCGGAGTTGGGAAAAAAAACACGAAATTCGCTGAAATACGAACATGCTACACTACATAAACCATTAATCGTTAATCATTAACCATAGTTTTTGGCCGAATCCCACTGAGAACCTGCGACTTTACACGCAGTCAGGGAAAACGAATTAGTGTTGAATCTACACAACATCTTTTGAAATGCAAACTGTGTTGAAAGTTATTTCAACCGCTCTCTGTTTGGCTGTTTCCTTGGCATCTCTGTCGGAGCCATGGATTGAAGAAGATAACAAAGAAAGTATTATGTCAACAGATTACGTGCAAGGCTCCTTGTGGCCCAAGCCTTGGATATACAATGCGAGTGGGAAGGTGTTTTCACTTGCTTCCAGTGATTTTTCTTTTGATTCCACTGGGGAAACTAGCGATGTTTTAACGGAAGCTCTTGAACGCTACAGAAGCCTAGTTTTTCCAGACCCAATGGAAAAATGTAAAGCAACATTGCCTAAGATCACAAAGTTGACGGTGAAGGTGGAGGAAAAATATTCGCCTCAATCACTGGAAACTGACGAGTCATGTAAGTTTAATATTGAAGAGAATCAATTTTTGGTAGATGCTTACAAAACATACCCAAGGGGTAAGTGTTGGAAGTTTAAGAAATCTTGGTCACTAGAGAGTTGACATTGCGTGACTAATGCCGTGTTTAGACTTGAGCGTGCTACCGAGGTATTGGAGTTAACTTAGCGGCCGACCATTTAACTCTTGAGGGGGGGGGAGTGGATGATTTTGAAAAAAAATTTCCTGCAAGCGCTTGTCGGAAGAAAAAAATTGCATGCAGCACAAATGTAATAAAGAGCTTAAGGGAAAAAAAGGGAAAAAAATATCCTGCCCACCATATTGCTAGAAAAAAAATTCTTGATGACCAGAAATCACCCACCCCCACCCTCAAGAGTTAAATGGTCGGCCCCTTACCTAGGTAAATATTTTGCGTGTGTAAACGCCAACTGATACCCTGGTAAACACCGCTCAAGACAATAGAAAGTTAACTAAGGTAAAAGTTCAGTTTACCGTGCGAGCAGGCATGGTTAAGGTCGGTAACCAAGGTTTGGATGACAGATACATCCGCTTGCGGTCGCATAGAATTTCACATCCTGTGGTGTCGGGATTGCGTCAGTCTCATTCGATCACGTTTTCGACCAGGTTTCCACGTTTGGTTTCGGTCTACGAAGAAGTTATGGCAAAAACCAAAGACACAAAAGACACACCATTCTTCAACAAAATTTCCATTTAATAGAGTTTCGAACCAGAATTGGTTTCTCGGCCACGACCACGCACGTCTAACGCGCCTTGTCTTGCGAAGGGCAATTTGTGGCAGAATTAATCGCTTTCGCCTCGACCTCTTTAGGTGCTGCAAAAGTAAGAGCTGCTGCAATCTCGATTCCTGGGTTTGTTGATCAAGAACAAGAAAATAAAACGCGAGGACTACAAGAGCCACAGCTTCTCTTTTAAACGCGAGCATTTTATGCGTGGATTTTGAATTTTCCGCCAATTCGATTAGACTGTGATTGATGACAGATTTACCTTAGTTATTTGAGCCCGTATAAACACTGTACAAATGTACCAGGGTTTAGTCAGTTAATGTTTACCTTGGTAAACGCTTGAGTGTAAACACAGCATAAGTGTCTAGTACCGTAAACGTCCGCTCATAAGCCCCCCAGTTATTATCCCATCCACCTGTAAAAAATACATCCGGTTATAAGTTCCCCCGGATATAAGCCTCCCTCTAGCATGTACTGAAATGAATTCGATTTGTTAAGTCGTTTTGAAGCTTAAAAAAGGGAGTAAATTATAAAAGTATTTAGATCAGCACTGCTATGTAGCTTCTTTTAGGTCCGGTTCAGTAAGCGTCCCCGGGTATAAGCTGCCCCCCTCCATTTAGAAGCCCTCCTAAAACCCCTTACGAAGTTAAAACCCCAGGGCTTATAAGCGGAAGTTTACAGGTATTTTCCCACTACCTTTGCATTACCTTACATTTTCTATCTGAAAAAAGGACCCACCCATCTGAAAATTTTGTGGCCGAATCTACTGTAGTAATATAGTTTGGCACAGCTGGAAGTAAAAAAGGAGTTCTCGGGGATAACGTTGAAGCAAAAAGAAATTAAAAGATTTTTCAACTTAAGGCCTGAAATCTATTATTTAGTATAAATTGATAACTATTAATAAAAATGATGATAAAATATTTCCCAGAAATTATTAATTTACTATATTTGCTTGATTATTCTTGAACTAATCTTGTTTTGCACTGTCTCATTAAGATACCCTTGTGATAGATGGCCCCACATCATCTCTTAATGCCAAGACAGTCTGGGGTGCACTGAGAGGTATGTAAAGGCTGTGACTCAGTTATCGATTCATAGCACACCTACAGGACAAGCTCTCAGTTTCCTTTTATGAGACGATGTCCACACATATGATAAAGTCGATATAGTTGGCTGTCCAGAACCACGTTTCCCAGATGTCTACCTTTGATAAGTCTCCACGTATCAAGAATGTCTGTCTCGTTCTATTTTGGTGGATGATGGCCAGTCACTCGACCCCCCCCCCCCCCTTCTCCCTATTCCTCAATCTTTCAAGGGTCCTGTTTAGACTCTCCTTGTAATTCTCTTATTTTCATTAATACTGTCATTTTGTCATTCATTTAACAGGTCTTGAAACTTTCAGTCAAGCTGTTTACCAAGATGAGACTGGATTTGTGAGGCTTGATTAAATAATTACACGATTTTGTCTCTTACCTCTTTTAACTCTGCATTGTATAGCGGATTAAGATTTCATTATATTGCATTGTCTTAAAGTAGCAGTGTACAGCCCCATCCACATCTGGGGCAAATCCAGGACAATCTTATATCCAGATCTCTTGTGGACAAAGCCATCCTCTCCTACTAGAGATCCGGGTACGAGATTAAATCTAGGAATTTTATTGGGGTGAAAAGGAAGAGGAAGGGTAAAAAGTGGGGAAAGTATCTGGAGTATGATGTGCGATTAAGAAGTCCAAGGAACATGGTAGATTGGGAAACCACTGAAGATTAGTCGACTCTGAAAATGCCACTTACCGGTAGTCTAGACTTAGACTGCTTGCATGCCGCCTTTTCTCTTAAAATCCGTCAAGTTCTTATCTCAGCCAGCGCGATTGCAAACCACGACGTTATGTTAGAAGGGATTGGGACCAGACGAGAAAAGACTTTTTCTTCTCGGGCTTGCGCCCTCGTTTATCGCGCGCCGCTGGCGTGCTTGGGTTTCGCTTGCAGTAACTTTGCAAGGAAAAATAAGAGACTGCTCGCAGTCTAGTCTAGACTACGATCAGTCTCCTATTTTCTCTTCTGAGTCACAGAAGATAAAGAGTTTGTGCGAGGGCTCAATATCTCCTCCTTTTTATCTCTAGCTTGCATTATTTTACTTTTCGCTCGCCACGCGTAGCTATGTAGTGCAGGCTAATGCCTATGAGGAACGAAGGACTACTGCTAACGGTCGACCGGTAGGCATCTGAGATTGGTAATTTGTTTTTGCTAATTCTCTTTCTTGAAGGATTCCTTGCCAACTCTGCCATATTGATCAACCTAACACCATCCCTAAGTTTCCCCAAACAATCGACTAGAATAGATCAGTTTTAAAACATGTAATTTTTATATATTCTTTTACTATCCAAAAACGTCTCATTTCAGTACCTTGCCAGTGGGTCATCAATCAGCGACTACCCACGATTTCGCCACAGAGGATTCATGATTGACACATCCAGACATTTTTTGGAGCCTTCTGTTATATTTAAGTTCATTGTAAGTCGCCGTATTCTTGGCGGGAAAAATAAGGTTTCGCACAACCCTCGGATTAGAAAGGTTTGAAGGCATATTGCGGCAGATCTTGATCCCCTTAATTAATACCTGGTAGTTAGTGGATTCAAATGAATGAATGTGTAAAGACTAGAGATATTTTTCACCAAACGGGAAACTTTAGGCGTATTTAGTATTTTCTTTTATAACCTCTATTCAGCTGTTGTGACATGCGCAGAGGAAATTTGTGATACTTAACGGTGCCAACTTATCAAGGAATCTCGGTAAAGACAATAAATACTGTGATTTTTGCAATATTTCATGCGTTTCCTTAGCCTTTCTAACTGATTGGGTGCCCTGTGGTTTTGGGGCCTAAAAAAACTAGAAAAAAACCTATACCCCAATTGGACTCTCCTTACTAGCAGGTGTTGTTTAGGAGGTCAGGTTTTGCCATAATCATCCGCTGTCAAACTTATTCTAATCCGTGGGATGTGCGAAATCCCCCTATGCTACCAGACTATTTGCCTTACTTTGTTTTGTTATTGCTTCTATGGGTTTTAATCAGTAAATTGAACAAGTGCCTTTTCTGCCTGTCCTTAGGAAGCCATGTCTTACAGCAAGTTTAACGTCCTTCACTGGCATGTAGTGGATGACCAATCATTTCCATTTGTTAGTGACAGCTTTCCTGAATTAAGTGGGCAGGTATTTGATGCTTAATTGAGGTGTATACAGATTGTGTATGCATCTAACACTCATTTAAGGCTATGTTTACACCATGCCGAATAGCTTTTGCGCTGCAAGAAAACTATACTGGACGGGGCATCTTTTCGTACATAAGAACGGTGATCTCGGTGCGATTTGTATAACGAAGTGAAGCTGGGTCGCGCCGATCTCGAAAGTGGAGCGTCGCATATCGGATACAAGGTTTTGTGTTACTCACACCTTGCTGGAGAGTGAACAGGTATATTCGGACCGTAGAAAAAGTGAATAAATGGGAAAGAGGACTGCTGACCCACTGAGACGAAAGTAAATATTCAGGAGTGAGGACCGGAGAAATCTCTCGGCCAACACGCCTCCGGCACGATGTTTGATGTGTGTGAACGACTTGTTCCAGTTCTGTATTGTTGCTGTTCTGGTACTCATTTAATATGAAACGTATAGTGTGAAACAAGCCTAAAAAAATCTTTCCAAGGACAAATTCATCCACTTCTTCTTACGAAGCTTGGAATCGAGGAAGATGACGTTCAAGTGCCCTTTCTTTAGCCGGAGTTTGAAAATGAATACTCAGAATTATTGTATTCTTCACAGAACTGTAATACATTTACAAACATCGCCCGCCTTGATTAACTCTCGTTTTACATGCGTAGTGTATACATTTGAACCAAGTATTATTGAACTTATGGATAAATAAATGAAACAAAAAGAAATCGGTCGGGGCAGAGGATTTTGAAGGGATCTTCGACTTCTTCAAAAGGGAAAAGGGGGAATCAATGTACCAGTGTTCCTCTTCAGACTGATGGCAATGGGAGAGCTATTTTTCAGTGTAATAGACGATATCATAGACCCAAAGTTATAGTATTCAACTTTGGTAACGGAAAATTCAATCGAAGTTAAGCTTAATTATATCTGACGGCGTACTTGCAAAGATTAGAGTTCAAATGATAAATCAGATCATACTTAAAAATGTTCCATTATGATAACAGCAGCCACAGAGAGCCAGGAACCCAATCTTTGTTGCGGAAGCGTAAATGAAACAATCAGTATGTTAATTGATTCACCTGTTAAGTCACTCAACCCACCAACCAATCAATCAATTAGTCAGTCAACCAAAATTAGTTGATCGTTGTCATTCGTAGGGGTTTTCTTTTCTTTTTTTTTTCCTAGGGTGCTTACAACAACAAAACCCACATTTATACAAAAGAGGATGTCAATAACATTATCGAGTACGCTAGGATGCATGGAATCAGAGTTGTTCCAGAATTTGACACGCCAGTAAGAACGACTATAAAGAGTGTATGAAGTAGAATGGGATGACAGGTCCCGTGCAAGCGACAGCATGAAACCAGCATTTTCACCCACTGAACAGGAGTACAACATATTGGTCCAACGTCACCCAACAATGTTGTATGGTGTTGGGTGCGTTCATACGGACCTAAGTGTTTTTAGTCAATCAAACCCGGGGTCCGCAAAATTTTTTGAACTAACAAACACTTGCATGGATCCGCCTTTTCGTTTACACGGGACCCGCAGAACCGTCTACGTTTTTCAACAACAAATAGTAGAATTTGCACGATTCCGTGTGGACGGTTTGCTCAAGTAAAAAAAATCGCCCGTTCAAAAATTTGTCCAGAGCCGGGTTAACGGGGTTTCACTTGCCAAATCAGTTCCTATGAATCGCGTTTACCATTTGCATTTATCAGTTGCATTAACCGAAAAACTCCCTCAAAAGGCTGAAACTGGTATCAAATAAGAATGGCTTTGAAGAAAACGAATGAAACACGAATTTCCGTTTGGAACATTCCGACCTGGGGAAAAAAGGGCCACCTTTTCAGACGTTCTGTTGCTCCCTAGAATTTTTCACCGGAACGACCTTAACAGTCGTGTTCCATTTACTTTCCAACCGGATCTTCCGGAAACTTTTTGCCAATGGTAAACAACCAAAATCTGCCAATTTGAGCATCGCGGTCGAGTTTGTGTATTCTCTCAAAACAATCGAATTTCGACAAGTCTTAATGTTAATACGTCATTAGTGTGAACATCTACTGTCGCACTACATCCAAAAAAGTTATCACTTCCACCCATTATTTTCCATCAACGTCTATAAGATTTTCTGTTGTCTTGAAAATAGACCGCGATTTCTCACATTGCTGTTTTTGTGTAGTGGGAATTCACAACGTTCTCTAGCACTTCCTATCATTTTGATCTCATTGACCATTATAAACATCCAGGAGCCCGTCACAATTTGTTAACAAACAACAAAGGATTATGCTCCGTCAGGGAGCTCTCTCTTGTAAAACACCGAATAAAAGTTTGTGAACCTCTCCGGAAACTAACTTCCGATTAATTTCAAGGTTTTAATTGGTCTAAAAATAACTTTGATGAAATTCACATCAGTTCCCAGGGCGAGCTGAGACTGGGCGTTACCCTCTCTGTCCCATTATTCTCTCTTAGTATGAGTCATTGAGTGCTCAACCGATTCTCGCTCAACTTAATTTTAAAAACCCCTATAAACCACTGTGGTAAACCCCACATTAGGGTACCTTGAGGAAACTCTAAAAAAAGTGTCCAGTACATTCTTGTTGGGTTGACTACATATTATTAATATTTGCTTTTAGGGTCACACTAGATCCTGGGGAAGCATAAAGAATTTATTAACGCCATGTTACTCTAAAGGAAAGCCATCAGGGTAAGCAAACCTATGTTAAAGAACGCTGCGGATTTATGCTGTTAGTTTTTCACGTGTTAACTTTTATTAATGAATAAACTGTGGTGCCGCGTTGAAACTCAAAACGTTAGTTTTGTCTACCAGGATGTTAAGGACAATTTGCTATTGTAAAGAATATTTTCAATACCCAGGGTATAGTAGTGTCTTCGTTTCTATTATCCTGATAATAAGGACTTTAATTTTCATCGTGCATTGTGCCTCTTCACCCAATTCCCTGTTTAATAGCAGAGGCCTCTGTACCCTTTCCTCTTTTGCCTAGTTGTATATATGCCGCGTTATTGACCAAACGTGAGGTTAAGATGGCTGGTTATTGATCAAGGTCCTTTTTTGACCTTTTTACGGACCTAGACGAAACAACAGGGAACTCTCTCTTGTTAGAAATAGCGGTTTATAAAAACGCAAACGCCACTATCCAGCCATCTCGATCGAGAAAGGTGATAACCCATATGTTAAGCAAATAATGTATCCGTCCATACCTGTCCAGTCATCCTTGCTTTCAATGTCAAGGATTTATTACATGTCTAAAAGAACTTTTCTTACGGGGCCAAAGCGGGAAATCCCGAGAGGGTAAGATAAGTCCATCTTGCCTGCTCAAAAAGCCAATCAGAACACAGGATTCGCTTCGTCTTGCCCCCTTCCTGAACCAGCAACTTGATGGGTCGCAGTTAGTAGAAATACCCATAGGCGCATGCTTCAAACTCCAGGAACTAGACGACTGATTTGTAGGTTCCGGCCAAGCTCTGCCGTTGCCATACATCAGTGGATTAGCGTCCCGGTGGGGTGAGGGGGGGTTGCTTCCTTTCCGATAAACAGTCATGTACCTTTCCGTTACGTTTGCAGGTCATATGGACCAATCAATCCAACTCTGGACTCCACCTTCACATTTTTGAAGACGTTTTTCTCAGAAGTTGCCGAGAGATTTCCTGATCATTACCTTCACCTGGGAGGGGACGAAGTCGGTGATAAGTGTTGGTATGTGAACGCACTAGGTTAACAAACGAAGGAATGTAAGTGCTTTACATTGGCTGCTTCTTAGTGTTGATCTATCAAAAAATGTCTGGCCAAATATGGCGATGTTGTTGTGGTTTGGATATTGTTAGGTGTCTTTTCAATTTTTAGTGTTCATGCGCATGCGTCATTTGATGATCGACCAACCCGAGAAGTACCAAAACAATCTTCTTCTTTTCCTCCCCTTACAGGGCAAGTAATCCTAACATTACAGCGTGGATGCAGAAGATGGGATATGGACAAAACTATTCTCTTCTTGAGCAACATTACGAGCAGAAGTAAGTTGAGCTTCATACTAAGGGCGTTACTGGATAGAGTCAAACCTCTGCTGACGGCTATCCCAGGGTGTAGGGCCATCCCAGGGATGTAGGGGGCGGGCACGCAATGGGAACGTGGGTAGACCGGGTGTCAAGTTCAGGAAAAGAAATATGGAAATTTCGGGTCGTAGCTGTGCAGTGACGGCGAAAAATTGTACTGTACTAAAAAGTGTGATGTTCGTGCAGAATTATTGTTTTGCTTGTGTTTTTGTCCAGCGTGACAAAGGGTGACGTGTGATGGGACCCAAACAGTATCAGCGTGATGCGTGATCGGGCCCAAATTAGCCACGAGGCGTGAATGGGCTTAGCAGCGTGATGCGTGATTTACTATTTTCACAACGCGTGAAGCGTGATTTTCCTTTGAAATTTCCATGATGGTTAATGATTATCATTTGAAACAAGAAGCAGAGACATTTAAGATAGATATTTATGACACCAACTTCTTGCCCTTTTTCCTCTTTCCTCGACCTCTGATTTCATCAGATCAAATGTTAATAGGATACTTGTTAATGTATATAATATTTTATTTTATTTTCCGTGATGCGTGATAGCTTGAAAAAAAAATCGGCGTGATGCGTTTGACGTTCCCGTCCCCAATGCTGTCGTGGCCAAATAAGCTGTCTACTGATAAACTAAATTCGCTTCCATTCCACGTCTGTATGTACAGCTCATTAATGACGATATGCAAACTTGATCCTAAGAAGGTCTTTTGGAAATCGAAAGAAAGAACAACAAAAACCAAACCCAACAAGTAATGTTGGTGAAACCCCAGCGATGACATATGATTTGCTATGATGTATATAGGACCCTGAATTATCACGTGATTCATCTCTGAATTCCTGTCATATTTTCAGCCTCCTACAGATAGTAGCCGCCCTTGACAAGAGCTACATTGTGTGGCAAGAAGTTGTTGATCGTGACATCAAAGTCCTCCCTGATACTGTGGTGAATATTTGGAAAGGTGGCTGGAAGAATGAAATGGCAAAAGTGACGAGCAAGGGGCTCAGAGCAATTCTTTCATCTTGTTGGTATCTCAACCGCATTCATTTTGGAATAGACTGGTCACAGGTACTTTTCGCATTTATCAGGCTTAATTCAGCCTTTCGCTAAGATGTTAACTGCCAGTGACAGTTGTACTTGTAATGTAACGAAATTAAACTGGACCGTTTCTTGTTCTTTTTCAGTACTATACTTGTGATCCAACAGACTTTACTGGTAAGAAATCAGTCCCACTGATGAGGAGGAGCGAATGAGGCCAAATAATTATATCCGAAAAAATCCTATTAGGCCAAAACGAGACCCAACAAGAGTAAAGCAATGGCCAAGAACCTGATACACGAAAAGAAAGTTCTCTTATGAACAGAAGTTCTCCGAGTTATTTTCACGTGTTTTGAGTTTTTTGTAAACCCACAGAAAAAGGAGTCTGCAAAATAGTTCTTTTTCTTTTCTTTTTATATTTTGCGGTTAAAAAGTCACCCCCAAATTTCTAACCCGAGAAAAAGTTCACATATCTTTAATGTCAGACCCCCAAAAAGGACTTCGCACCTCCCCATCACTAGTTATACCCGAGTGCTCTTCCCCCCCCCCTCCCCTCCCCCCTGCGCAAGGGGCTCTTCTTACAGCGCGTAGTTACCCTGCTTCCTCGTCGCGAGCTTGAGATAAGACTGAGATGGTTATTTAGCGGCTGAGCGTAGCGAGCAAAAAAACTGAAAATAAGAAACAAAATGGCCCATGACTTTATGCATGTTTCAGAACGAAAAGAAGTGTATCATCTATGTTCATTGTAAAAGCATTTGAACAGCAGTTTCAATCTGTCTGCGAGCAATATTTTCTTAGTCCATCGAGCAAACTGCACTAGAGAGGAAAATAACAACGGTGTTATTAGCCGTTATCGTAGTGGTAGTAGTAGTGTTAGTGGTAGTGGCAGTGGTTGTGGTAGTGGTAGTGGTAGTGGTGGTGGCAGTGGGGATGGTAGTGGTAATGGTGGTGGCAGTGGCAATAGTGGTGGTAGTGGTGGTGGTAGTGGTAGTGGAAGTGGTGGTGGTACGTAATGGTAGTGGTGGTGGCAGTGCCAATGGTGGTGGTAGCAGTAGGGATGGTGACAGTGGCAACGGTGGTGGTAGTGGAAGTGGTGTTGGCCGCGGCGACAGCAGCAGTAGTACTGAGTTGTAGCAGTAGCAATAAAATTGAGTTTGAAGAGACATATTTGTTTTCCGAAATAGGGGTCACTGTCTTTGATCATTTTCTCTGCTTGTTATATTATTTCAGGCACAGACAAACAAAAGGAGTTAGTGATCGGCGGTACAGGTTGTATGTGGGGAGAGTATGTTGATGGAGGTAACATACTTCCAAGAACCTGGTAAGAATTTCAAAGGACCCTTTTTTTGATATTTTATAGCCCATTTTTGTGCGGGAGTGTCAAATAACTCTTACTTTCGAAGCAAGTATTAAACTCACGTAAAATCTTGAAGGTTTCCTTTAACGATATCAGTCACTGGTTTCTCAATTTGCTATCAGTGATTAACAGATTCATTGACAAGGTTCCCTCAGGTAGTTAGCATTAAGTTAACTGATTGTGTGTTTTTAGAGATGACGCCAAAATAGAGGAAGTATGGTATGGTGTGAGACTGAAATGCTTCAAGAATGATGGAAGGAAAAAAAGAGGCACAGACTAAGGCTTTCACAAAGATCTTCTCTCTCTTTCATCGCAATCTTTTTTATTTCCCCAGGCCCCGCGCTCTTGCAGTAGGAGAGAGACTGTGGAGCAGTAAAGACACCACTAATTTAGCCGACGCTACTGGAAGACTCTGGGAACACCGCTGTCGTTACGTAAGGTACGATGTCATAACCCAAAATTATTTTTTAAAAAGGGATACCAGCAATCAGTATTTAGGAACTGAAAGTGTTCCCTGTCGTCTGTTGCTACGGATGGACAAGTATGGACATGGATTGAAACTTGATAAAGTTTTATTGCTATACCTTCATAAGTCACCAAAAAAAAACATATCTTCTTCATAACTCCAAAGAAGCATTTCGTGTATCAGACTTTCTAAAAGTCCTTTTATTTTTTTTCCTGGTTGGTTATGCCATATTGACTTCGACTTAAAAACTTATGAGAGGTCGACTTGTCAAGTCTATTTGTGTATTGGTTAAGGCACTGCACTTGGCAATAACTTAAATCCCAACAGATTAAGGCCTGCGCTATAGAGCTAAAATGCTTAGGGGTTAGTGCATGTAACAGCGACAAAATCATGTGCAGTTCACAGAAGGCTCTGCTAAGGCTGGTTTCCACATGACCACTACGATCACCAAGAAATAAAGAAAAGTTCGAGACAATGTAACAATCTCATGGAAACTCCACTTCAGCATCCCGCTGAGATGAACCTCAGTTCCTTGTCACGCAGTTTCCCAATGATCGCTGAACTTACCAGGGAACATGAAATCAGCCTGTCGCACTATTTCTTAAACTAATTATTCAGTAAACTATTCTTCCAAAAATGCTATTAGGGATGTGCAGCGCACACGCAAGAACGTGTTTCCCAAGTACACGAGCACGAAGATTTTTCGTCATGTTGCATGTTCAAAAAAAGGACTAGTTATGTCGCTGGTGAAACTTTCTTTCCTCAACATGCCCCATAAAGGTCCTCACGACGAACGTCGCATCACATGTTTGACCTAAATCTGCGCTGAGCAAATTTCATCGAAGAGTATCAGCGCGCACAAAGACACGTGACTAGGCATCAGACTCCTACTCGATTACCAGCCGCTATTCGGGAAATGAGCCTGCGCTCTTCTCCCGAAAAATCTCTTCTCTCTTCTCTGGGGGAAAAAAATAATAAACGGAGCTGAGAGAGCGGTGGAAATCAAGCCTACTTATCCCCCTGTGTCCCAACTTTAATGGTTATTTTTTGTCATCTAACAGGCGCGGAATTCCTGCGGAGCCCGGTGTCAGATCCAAGTACTGCAGATACGAAACTCGTTTTAATTAAATGACCGTAATATAAACCACACGTCCCTTCATACATGTTTTGCCATGAATTTCAGGCTGGACTGTGGGCAAGCTATTAGTAATAGAAATGTTCGTGGAAAGACTCTTAGGGGTCAGTTATTTAAACGGAGTTTAGCCAGCCTTTAACAAACCCGCGTTCTAAATCATTTTCAGTTTGCCGAAAGCAAAGCATTTATCGTGAACAGTTTCATGCAAGCATATAAAGTAGACTAGACACGCATTTTTCTTCTAAAGTAATCCACTAGGGAAGAGATCTACAGGTCCAAAGATTTCCTAAACCGCGGTCTAAGTAAGACTTCGTTTAAATAACCGACCCTTCAGTTCCACTAGAGGAAGGGTGGTAGTGACATAACTAACTGGTTTTCAAAAGAGATTTTTCTTGATTTAAAATATAATGGTTAGTTTTCATCGTTACACTACAAAAGTAATTATTGAGCAGAGCACCAGTAGAACTAAAATGAGCAAAACAGTATTTGTGTGAAAGCTTTTAATGGTACTTCAACTAACAAACTTGTCTAAAAAAAGAGCCCTCTGCCCGCCGAGTCAGTTAAAGGCAGTATGAATTAATGACTATCAACTTTCGTGACTACAACAATCTTCCGCAAACACAATTTCTGTGGGCGTTTTGATCAATTTACAAGCTACAACCTGCATCGGTAAATCTTGGGCTTCATGAAACTGAATATTAAAACTAGTTTGCGGTAATTTATAATAAATTAACTGGATGAAATAAAATGAGACCTTGAACAAATCACTTCCGTCTTTTCTGACTCCTTACTTAGACCCGACATTTTACAAACTGCTGCTGTAACCCACTGTCTAACCAACACAAGGAAACTAAAAAACGAGCTTTCTATGCTACGAAGTTGCGGCTCTAAAAGTCAAATGCGTGGTAACCCATCCTTGCATACTCCAGTACTACTGTTGACTAAGCGAACAAGGCTATCGGCCGTAGGGATGAAATCCCCGGGAAGCAGATGAACCCCTTCCAAACGACGCTGTCTCGCCTCCATACCCTGGGGCAGCCCCTGGGTATCCAGAAGGGTCGGCAGATCCGTAGGAACTATAGCTGTTGTCAGAAGGAAAAGAAGAACCTCGGGCGGGTCCATACTGCAGATCTTGCTGCTGGTAGTTACCCAAGCCTGCAATGAAACGTAAACCGTTTAAAGGTGCCACGGCGAGAAGACCTTTGGACCTCAGCAGTTCAAAAGATGGGCAGCAATAATTAAGTGCATTTCCTCTAACAAACGCCTAACCTCATATAAATATATGCACCCTGTTTTTCACCCACGAATAGCAACTAACGCGTCCCTCTAGTCCAATCAACACCTCTAACAGTAAAGTGGCCCTCCTTAACGAGTGCATATTACGAAAATGTATACATCAAAGTGCTACAGTTTTTCTTTCATTTTCGTTATCAATCAGTGAAAATAAATTTATTGTGATCATTTGTTTGGTTTGAGAGCAATGAATAATGCAAAAAAAAAAAAGAAACAGCCGGTCCTGCTTTAAACGTATCAGCACAAGCACAGCAGAACAGTCGTGTTTTGAAAAAACGTTTTGACAATGAAATCTAACCCATAGGTAACTAATAATTCATGGGTATGGCCCCCTTGCAGAATGCGGTCACATGGCAAATGATGTAGAGGAGGGGCAAGAAAAACAGAGATTATAACATTCAAAAAGCTGACATTCATTCTTTTCAAGGTCCCACTGCATCGTTTGCCATTCCGCAACGTGTTTTTTGTACAATATGATCGTGTTCCGCGGAGGGCCCACTGATAACCTAATAAGGTGTTATTGCACTAAACCAGAAGTAAGAACTGCCTGGACAGATGGGTAATTTCGGAAATTACTGTAGGCATATTGTCATGAAGAAAACAGATCTGACCAGGGCTGTCACCAAGATTTCAAGTTGCTGGGTATATCCAATTAGTAGGCTGGGAATGGAACAGCTTGGGATTCCATTTCTTTTCTTTTGTTCCCTATGAAAGTAGCCAGGAGTCATGCTCACAGTAGCTGGGGGAAATTCCCTGCCCCCGGCCCTTAGTGACAGCCATGCCTGATTAAGCGTTCAAGTCCCAAGAGTGATCAATAACAATTTTCTCCTAGTAATATCAATGCATCATCAAAAGAAATGGTTATGACAACACATAAAATGATCACCAAAGTGAAATGCTCTCATCTTTGATAAAATTTACCCAACTTATTATTTAAGGAAATGTATGAAGATAAGTCTGGAGAAGTTGTTTCCGGATATTGGGGCTCAAAGGGCCAACGGAAGAATTTTCTTTAAGTAAGCATTATTTTTTTCAGGTGATGGAGCAAAGGCAAGGCAAGGGTATAACAGGCTTGGAGTGCAAGATATTTGTAACAAACTTGGTGCTTGCCTTTGCTTTTATTTATGGACCCCAAAAACATGAAAAAATAATGCCTGTTCTGCAGGCTTCTTCATGACTTAAGTGATAGCAGTACCCTTGCTGTGACGTTACACTTACCATATGCTGAGTAGTCTGGTGCACCTGTGCTATCGACTGCTGGAGCTCCAGGTGCTGCTCCAGGCTGGCCAGCCTGTGTTCCTTGCATTCTGTTGTAATCAGGGTAGCCACCAGTCGCTGCTGCTGCTGATGATACTGGCACTTGCTGCGCACCAGTCATTCCATACCCAGCTCCATATCCTTAAATCATACACACAACATTTCTTTTCCATCAGTTTCACATACCGTAAAATTCCGGAAATAAGCCCCGGGGCTTATATTTTTCAAAGGCCCTTTTTGAGGGGCTTATTTTTGGAGGGGCTTATATTCGGAGGGGCTTATGTACCGAGGGAAATTTGCGTTTCAACATCGATTGGGCTAGCTTGTAGTGGGAAGGAAATTTACCATTTTTGCTTTGTTTTACTTTGTATTTGAGGCCAAATTCCATGTACAAGCCCCCCTGGGGGTTTATATTCGGAGGGGCGATTTAACGGAGGGTTTTTTGCGTTACAATTTTGAGGGGCTTATATTTGGAGGGGCTTATACATGGAGGGGCTTATTTTCGGAATTTTACAGTAGTTTGTACAACAAACAATATTCAATGACTTTTCAAGGACAAATTATATTTTTTTGAGGACTAACATAACTGTCTTGAATTCTCCCAACCCCTCTCGTGTTTATATCAGGCTATGCAAACATGGAAAACGTTTTCTATTGCTTAAACATCGCATCACCTGGAGCAGCTCCTCTTGAATACATGGCTGCTACTGCAGCAGCATTGGGATCACCTGCATAATGGGTGGCTGGAGGAACACCAGCTGCTCCTGTACAAACAAAAGAAATAAGAATAATTAAACTCATCCCCAATGGTACTACAGTGGAACCTCGATACAACGAAGGGCTAAAGGACAAGCAAAATGTGCTCGCTTTTAAGAGGTTTCGTTATTTCAAGGTTCTTTGTCATATAATTATTTTACAACCAACAACCAATTGTGCAAAAGTGAGGTTTACATGAAGCACCACCCAAATAGCAGTATAAAGAATTTACTTTCTGCTCTGGCCACTTAAACAGTGTCCCTAGAGACCAGTCATAAAGTGATTTGTTACACAGCCCAGAAAGAAAAACCTTTATTTGTACAAATAAGTTGATGCAATAATAATCTTGGCCAGCAATCATAATTCAAGGATGAAATTCTACTATCATTTTGTAAAGCGTAGTTCTTGAAATGTTGCCTTCCCAAAGACTTTTGGTGGAAAACATTTTTAGGGTGATGTTACACAGGAGGATTCGCAACAACGATTTTTAGCGCAACACAATGTTTCAATCTTGGAGCAATGTTGTAACTATTCGAAACAATGTCACAACAATGTTGTAACAATGTGTTGCACTAAAAATCATCATTGCGAATCGTCCCATGTAACACCTTTAAGATGTCATGTGTTTTTAATGTAGCCAATGAGAGTGCATATTGTAGGAGGAAAATTCCTGGGATATGACAACATGCCTACGATATGGACACTTCAGGAAAATCCCAACAATGCATTCCTCGGAGAGTCGACTGTAATGCTAAAGAGATTTAATTTGAAGGGTCACACCTCTGGCTTAAAACAAGGGTCAAAAGTTACAACTGAGTAAACACTTTTCTTAACTATCATGGTGGTGAGAAGGTGAATATTTGAAACATATTGAAAAGACAATTGCAACTTATTAATAACTTGTTTTCACATTAAATTGCTACGCTTAGTAATGGGCAAAATTTTTTTCCAAAAGTCAGAAGTACAATGTTCATTCCTGACTCCTGTTTGGCACCAAACACATGTATTTGTTTTGAGATAGGACTGTTAACTGGCACACTGGGACTAAACAATGAAGGTCTAATGACTCCAACAAACCAGAAGTTTTTAAACTGACTTTGAGAGTCATGTACAAGCATTTGTTTCACTGTTTCCTTCAAAAACATAGAAGAAAACAGAGTGATTTCAACACTTTGATGCAAGCTTTGAAGGAAGTTTACTATGTGCCTTGTTTGACACTCTAAACACCACTGACACTGTGAAAGAGCAACACTTCTCAAGGCAAAGTGGAAAAAAAAAAGATCATATCAAACATATTATATGGAGGGTATAATAAAAATTAATTTCCTGGCTCCAAAATGCCTTGTTTTCCAAACCACCTTTGAGGTGTCTGGATATTGGTAGAAGTACATGTATTCTTTGGAGTGTAGAGAAACTCAAACCAAAACTTACTGTCACATCATAGATTTCCTTGTTTTATCTTATTGATAATATTACTGGAAGTATACCATTATTAGGTAATAATTATGACGAATTTTTTGCAGAGCAAGTGGCTTAGAACAATAATTGCATGATGACCTAATTTTACTACATTTGAACAACTACCAGAATGCTTCAGTTTGTTGCTTTTTAGTGCAAAATAGGGCTATTATTTTTTAAACCTCGGCGTGATTTAAGACTTAAAATAAGACGGAAAAAACTAAATGAATTCTGTTTAGAAGATGGACTTCTCCGACTACTGATCTGATGTAGTCAAAAATGTAGTCATTGTTGACATTATTTTCATTCGAAATGGCGGCGATACAAAAACTCGCCACAATCACTAATCAGTTCGAACAAACATTGAAACTTTCCAAGTGAAAATTAACTTGAACTAAGCTTATTTAAACATGAGCTAGAATTGAAAACTTTTTAAGAAAAGACCACCGAGACGGCAAAATATTCTGCAGCCAAAGAGGTCCATAATACAGCAAATTTCAAGCATGAGATTTCTCTACAGTAAATTATAGAACATTAATAGTCTTTAAGAAACATTACTGTTATTAAGAGAAGATCAGGTAATAATATTTTTACTAGGTTTCCATAGAAAAGTGTAGGCCTGTGTAAACTGTATTAAGACATATCATACCATAGCCATATCCTGGAGCTGCGCCAGGAGCTGCACCACCATAACCAGCTGCTGCCGCACTAGTAGGCATGCCACCATAACCAGGGTAACCACGTCCCATTCCTACAGGGTGCTGCATGCCATAAGACGCTAGAAAATCAGATATAAAAAAGCACTGGTTAGAAAAGTCTGCTTTGTGTTCATGAAGAAAAAAAAGGGAGAGTTATAGCCTTGACTACTCTAAGCTTGAATGGAACCAGCAGCTAACGTTTCCGACAATACAAGTACAAGTAAGAAGAACGGCCAAGAAAGGGATCCAAAACAAAATGTGACCAGGGTACTTTAAACCACCTTTGAGGTATCTGGGTCTTAGACGAGACACTCTATGGGTGTACAAGAAAGTTTTAAAATAATTTAAGTTACAGAATTTTAAGTACAAGTTAAACAGTACTAAAGAGAGCAAATTTACAAACCACCCTCAAAGAGGTCACTTCCATTTCTTTTATTGAGTGACAGGAAAATTTGAGAATCTCATGGTTCAGAGCAATGTTGTAATGGTTTTACCCAAGTACAAAACTTTTACAATAAGTACGTTTTATTTTCTTTAAAATAGAGGAGGCTGTGGAAATGGGAGTTTAAATGCTTAGTTGCTCTGTACACGAATGCTCTTTGGCTGCTCAGGACACAGTATTCCGGAATGTGGCCAGACACTTTATCACAGACACCTCTCTATAACAGACAGTTCCAAACATATCTCTGTAATACAGCCACTGCGAATGTCCAATTTATGCGAGTACTGTGAAGTTTCAAATGACTAACTATCCATGCACAGAACACATGGACTTAATTTTGAATATACTATACACCAATCAGTTCAAAAAGCTCAACGAGTGGTACCTTGTTGTGCATACTGCCCAGTGGCATATCCAGCATGGGCCCCGGGGTGTCCATAGGCAGTCATTGGAGGCATGCCTCCCATTGTATTTTTGGGTTCACGCTTCTCTGCTCTCTTTACTTCCACCTGAAATGAACAAGGTGAAACAGATTAGTTGAAACTCTTATGATAAAATGCCACATAAACAAATTACAACTGCCTACAAAGAAAATGCTCTAAACTTTCTTATTTAAGGGTACTTTAAAAGGAAAACTATACGTAGAGGATGGCCAAATGGAGTATAATATTTTTCAATACAATAAGAGAAATTTGGTATCTCCAAGCGGCCATGTCAAGTTCTATTTATTACATGTATATAAACACCAAAAAAAATACTAAACCATTTCATTTGCAGAGAAAGGCGCAATTTATTTTTTGGCCATAGTTATGCCTATCTTTTTGCATGTAATCTTTTCACATGTAGAGATATCAAGTTTTCACGCGAGAGCTCATCTGGTACATGTATTTCATTGGTGGTTATATAACAAACTAGGGCATTATAATATGATCAAAAGTCTACTGCAGTAAGAGACATGAGGTGACTTGCACTAAGAGGTGTGGATATATACCACTTCCTTTGACTGACAAAAAATTAATTACCAGTACAACATTTGACACGTAGATGCTGTGGTTTAATTTTATCCTTGGTATACATAAATTTTGTTTTCTTTTGTTGTAAACTCATTATCATACATTACCATATTTTACCCAAAACCAAAAGAAAATAAAATTTATACCAAGGATAAAATTGAACCACAACAACATAGATGGTACGTTTAGAAGAGGGCTTTTTTAAGATTCCAAAATGTCTATTCAAGAGATAACAATCACCTATGCTGATGCCAACCTGTCAATACTAGTACATCACTTTTTAACAGCTCAAAAATGCCAGCGCAAGATGCAACGCAAGTTATAAGATAAGCAAAAGGCCCCTGCGGTCACCCCACAGATCACGTACGCTTGAGGAGGAGACTGCTGACCGCATTTGCTTGCAATTTAACTTTGCCTAAATTACATCTAGCCACATGAAACAACTGCGTGCTTCATCTTCTATACTAAAAAATTACAATGTCCCTATAAAGAACATGATATAAGGTCACGACTACAGTGCAAGTCACCTGTTACTATTCTGGACTAGTGTATGTAGCAAGTAAAATTAATAGTCAATGACATGGAATGATACAAATGCTGCAATTTAACAACCAACTCAAATTCATTGCAATCATAATGGTGCACAAAGGTCTTTTCCACTCAAAAAATCATCACAAGATGACAATAAAGGAGAAGACTGACATGTATCTTGGGGGCATATCCAACAGCACACACAGAGAAAACATATTGTCAAACTACCTATATTGTGTAAATTTTAAGGTACAATTATTCCTTACAATTTTGTAACATTTAGCATTCCAATAGTGAACCCTATTATTTGCTTTTATTTTTTTGTAATGTGTGTTTGCCTATGCCCCACCCGGAAATCAGATTTTGTTGTGTGTGGCTAGTGATGTTAAATAAATTTGCTGTCGTCATTGTTCAGAAAGCAACCAGCAAAGGCTTTAAAGCTGATGGTACAAAGGTGCTACAGATGCAAGTTCATTCTGCCAACAACGTATTTATTATCCACTCAACAACAGAATTATTTAAGAACGGACTTATGTTGGATATGGAGCACTGCATGTAGGCATGTAGGTCTTCTTATATTTGACATAGAAATTAACATTGATCTTGCCTTTTTTCAGTAACAATGACAAGTCTCTTAAGGTTATGTGAACTCTTATACCAGAAACATAACAAGTACAGAGGCAGCAGTTGACAAGAGTTAATGACAGCCAGCAAAACTTAGAACAATAGAGCTATTAATAACAGGGCAGGAATACGAGATAAAGGATCTTTTTAATTATAACAAGAGTATTATTCAACCATGGGTTTAAAAGACAGTATCAGCTGGAAATAACCAATTTTGGCAAGATTAATTGTTTAAGATCATTTAAAATAACTTCAATGGTAATATTATGATTTTGTTTTACCCATACACAAAATAGACATGTTTTCTACTGCAAACTAAAACGTTTTCACAAAACAAAATTCAAACCTAATTAGAATAATGGTTTGGACTCTTGCCACAATGAATTAGCAATATTCATTAACTATAGACCTTCAACAAACAAAGAAATCAAAGAACACTGGTAGTTTGTTGTTCTGAATGCGGTGATCATCAACAGTTTAGACAACTATGAACCTTTCTTAACTTTAGAAACAACGTTGACTCAGACCTTACTGACACCCTTAACAGTGAGTAAAATACCATAATGATACTAAAACTCAAGGTCGGGAATATGGTCTAAAAGATAAAGGATTTTGTTGTGCAAAATGTACAGCTGCCTGGTACAGCTTTATCGAAAACTCAAACTTCAAAATGCCAATTTTTCTACAGAATCAAAAAGTTTCACGAAAGAACTGATGAAACCAAAGACAGGTAAAAGAGAAAATTTAAGTGTACCTGGCAATTATCTCGCTTGATTAAAAAGTATTATGTTTTTGTCAAGTGAATTAGATAGGTCGAAGTAAGTTCCAAAGGTGACCAACATCAAGTTTCTCCTCACAAGATCCAAAAGAAATGGTCATGAGAGCTAATAACATGATCACTTAAGAGACAATGCTTTGATTTGTTGTCAAACTCCTTCAACTAATTCTTTAAGGAAATTTATGAAGATCAGTATGGAGAATTTACATGTTTCAAGGGTCAGACTGGTACAGAGAAGAATATTAAGCAGAGAACACAAAACAGGCCATTATCCAAATATTATTCCAGACCAAAACCTTTGAGACAAATCTAATAAAAAATTCTTTTTTTTAAAATGGAGGTGAATAAAAAATATTCATGACTGAAAATAGCGACCAGATGCTTTTATTGTTTTCTTCAGGGATGGCAGATTGAGAGCCAATTATTACACGAATATGCAGCAATTTATACTCTTGTTTCTGCCAGCTCAAGACTGAAAAGACAAACAGTAACCACTGCTTTGCAGCTAAGCTAAAAGACATTTTCTTGAAAGCAGGGTTGTCACTAAGATTTCAAGTCGCAGAGTTAATACAACAAATAGCGGGGAAATCAAACAGCTTAGAGTTTCTTTTGGTTTTATTTTTCTTCTTTTTTTCCTTTGAAAGTAAGCGGGGGACACATTCATTGTCCCCGACGGAAATCCCTGACTCCTGCCTCTTAATTAATGACAGCCCTGTGAAAGCTTCCAAATCTTGCTTGCAAGCCACATGTTACATGTGCTGATGAGGTGATATTTGGTACTCAAATTTCAAAACATGTCACATGTTTTAAAAAAAAAAACACAAACATTTTGGGCTTATGACCTTAAGACGATAGACATAAAGATGATCAAAGCCTGCACATGTGATGCTCCGAGTAAATCAGCTAAGAGTTTAAAAATATTTCACATCTCTATGTCCTAAGTAAGATAAAAAAGAAACATATCATCCAAATTCACATGACCAGAAAACCTCACTCTTTCCCCAGTGAATCTAGTGGTAAATACTATTGTACACCACCATGAGCTGCAACACAAGTCACAATAATTTAAGGTATATGAACTAATTAAATAAGTAACTAAACCATAACTACACCGTTTTTCCATTGATTTGGTGAAAATGAATATTTGCAGTCTTCTCAACTGGTTGGCTTGAGTCAAACGTTACAAAACCAAAGCCTAATATAGTGTAAATATATAATATCATAAAATAAGTTAACTCCTCAATAACACAAACATACAGACCATACAACACAACACATGACGCTTACAGCAACCAAATGCTTGAAGCAGTTTGACACCTTGTCCGTTGATTAAAAAAATTCTGGACAACTCATCGGGATTCTTGCTTAGCTGCCCCAAAAAGATTAACTTAACAGCTGCTCTTTGTCCTGGATGACCCAGCAATTTTGCTAGATTGCTGGTGAAGAGTCAAAGGCACCAACTCAACACAGGCAAATGCTCCTGTGACTCAACCACTGATTACTTTCAACATTTACTTATCAACGAGCTCAGCAATAAAGTCGGGGTGCATTGTAAGAGGCAACTGTGACTCAAAATCCACAATACAATGAACAATACAATAGAATACAATGAACAATGTTTCCTAGTAATGTGCTCGCCTTCACAGACGGGGAAACATACAGCATACATATACTGCATTGACAAAGTGCAAACCCACATACAGTGAAAAGTGTACATAACAGTACAATGTGCCTCTCACAAAGACAAGTACTAACACATAAACAATGATACAGGGCCAAGATAACACCAGATTTATATCGGTATTCCCATTCTAAATTACGTAAATGAACTATATTTATCTACTTTTTATTTAACCATAATTACTTGAAAGCCAAATTATAGAAATTGAATTACCTTAACAAGACAACTTAATAACATCAGTATCGTATCGTAATTTGTACGGCATAGGGTCTAATTTACTGTAATATAAGTTTTTATTTGCTACCTTAAAATCTAAGTGTGATTTAAAAAGCTAACATGATAGTATCGGTCTACTTTTGTACAGAGATTATCTTGTGGTATCTGACCCTGCTAGTCATCAAAAACAAACCACTAAGCTACATTACACCACTTAACAATACTAATCTACAACAAAACGTATTTAATGTAATAAGTAGATGTATACTGTACCTAAGTAGAAATAATTAGATATAATTAGTAAGTATTCCAAGAACCAAAATTATTCACATATAGTCAATAAAGAGAGACTAAACATAATTATATTGTAGGAAAAAAAATCTGTTTTCAGGTTTTACCAGGATTTATCCCATTAGGGTTTCAACCTTGATAACTTAAGTTGAAAACTGGTTTATCCTGAAAATGGATTTTACCCACAACATAAACATTGTGGCATACAGAATAGAAGGAAATGTGTATGAGAACACGCACACTACAAAATGTAATCAGTTTTTAAAAACTGCCACTTAAGTATCTTTTTATTTTGTACACAAGATAACAATAATTAAAAGTACGATGGAGATAGATCGACTAGCAGTAATATTGGTCTAAGCAGCCAATAATGCTCAAAAGCTATTAATTTATTATTGCTCATTTCAAAAAATGTTAAAATCATGTATGCTGACTTCATTAACTTATCTTTGGCTGGAGGGATTTTTTTTTGGACAAAACGACAAATTCAACCTCCCTATTTACTTTTATTGTAGACTTCGTTTTTGTTAACCCTATTCAAACCAGTTTTTTTTTTCCTTCCTGGAACTGGGGGAAGGGGAGCTCCTGGAGCCAGCATCAAAGATACATGTAAAATAATAATCTAAAAATATTGTGAAGTGTGGCAAAATGACTCAGGTTTTATCACTGTTTAATTTATATTTGTTGTGGAGATAACGTAAGTACCAATTCAACCAAAAAACTCTGCATAAAAAGGTGAAGCTTTTTTTTTTTCTAAATTGGGTACAGTACTGCTCAATAGTAAGTTACCACCATCTCACGGGAAGTGAATCGCAGCATACACTGTAACTGATACCTGTTAATCTCAATTCTCACTTTTGCAAAAACAAAAATATAACGGCATGGTCAGGTCGTGAACAAGTCCCGAAAGCCATATTTTTTCAAGTAAAACAATTTGAAAAGATGTTCATAAGTGTGACACTGCTGCCTGGTGTAAGTGCCACAATTCCACAATACTTTGTACAATCTAAGCAATAACAAAACTCATCAAACAAACCCACCTCTCATTCTCTTGGTGCCCTCAGTTTGTGAATTTTCATACATCAAGTGGACATGTGTGACCTATAAAACGCCAACAGAAAGGCCTGTTAGGCCCAGTTCAGACACCAAACTTTTCATGAACAGAACCTAATACACTGAATTAAGTTCAGGAAAAGTTCAGCGTCTGAAGCAATTAGGAACACCTGCTTCAATTTGGAAAAGCTCAGCCATTCTTTTCGCCTAGCCCAGCCGGGAATTTTGCCTTTGGAGCGACTTTAGAATGGCTTTGATTCAGGTGCCGAACGTTTCATGTACCAAACCTAATGCATAAATTATTGTAACATATTTTGAAAGCAGTTTGACCAAAATGAGCATTTTCAGCATTTTGAACTTAGTTCAGCTGCAATTAAGATCGGCGTCTGAATCAATTCAGCCCATCTAAATAATTTGGGTCAGCCTTAATTCAAATTAGGTTCGGCTCATGAAAAGTTCGGCGTCTGAACTGGGCTTACATTCACATAACAGTAGAAGGCATCCAAAGCTTGATAACTACAAGCATTTATGATGAGCTTGCATCATAAAATTTATGATCCATCTTCTTATTACATGCACCTTATCAAGAACAAGAAACAAGGAAGATTTAAACCAAGTAAAAAAGGGGAGCATGACGTTTTGAAGGTACAAACTTAAAATTATTTTCCAGCGAGACTTGAAACTGACTTTGACAAACCAGCCACCAGTTTAGAATTCGGAAACATGATCAAATACAACCCAAGAAAATTTTCTTACAAAATAGCAAAAATGGACACTCAAGTTCTTTTGCACAGTTGTGCGCTGATCATCACTCTCCTGTAATGATTTGTTTATCATAAAAAAATATCACAAAAGTAAATAATCAAAATGCAATACAAATAATACCGGAGTGCAAAGAAAGTTCTGTCTGATAGCCCAGGGCTAGTGGATTTTGCTATTGAGCTTAGGACTTAGTGTTCTTAACTTACCCAATGGGCAGGTGGGAAAGTGACGTTTTTGGGGGAATTCAAATTACAGATGAACTATAATCAATCCTGCTCATCAAAACATTTTTTTGCGCTAGTATATAGTAGATATGATAACAAACTTGACAAGCTATCAACTAAAGCCAGTAAGGCTCCATATTTACTAAGAAATCACCGACACTTTGCACTTCCAAAGTGGAAGACAGACTGTTTTAAGAACACTTCTATTTTGTCATCATGCCTAATAAACTATCTATCTATCTGTCTATCTATCTACATCTTGTCCAAATGGTAAGCCACAAAAATTGACTTGCTTTGCATCCTGAATACCCTCAGGGTGCAAAGAAAGTCATTTTTACAGCTTGCCATTTGGGCAAGCTGAAGCTAACATTTACTAGCCCAAACATCATTTCAACTAGCCCCAAAAAGGTTTTGATGAGCGATGGATTTCACAGTTCTTCTGTAATTTGAATTCCTCAAAAAACTTCACTTGCCCGTCGGGCAAGTTAATAACAGAATTCACTAGCCCAATAGCCAAATCCACCAGCCCCGGGCTATCGGACACTACTTTCTTTGCACGCTGTACCCTTAAGTGCAATAAATAAAACATGTAGTACCGTGCCATATGCAGAGAAGTAATTGCGGAGGTCATCTTCTGTGGTGCCATTTGCAATCCCACCAACAAAGATCTTCTGAGCATTGTTGTCTCTCTGAAAACAAAGACAAATTTTCAAGTGACAAAGATTACAATCATGTAATGGTAACCACGTCTCAATTTGGGCTGAATGGGGCACTCCAATTGGCTGTTTGGTGGTTAGGATTTAATTCTTAAAGGGTAAAATGACACTCAAAATCTTGCGATTATTCACTATTTTGAAGTTAACAGCAAAAGATAACTGCTATTTTAAGCAACACGTAAGCAACTGAAGTCTCAATTCAAAGTTTGTATATGTATCTATTTTTTCACACTCTGCAGAATGCGGAAAAAATGGACCTAGAACCACAAACTATATTTTTCTTTAAGTGGACTTTCTAAGAAAAAGATGGACCTTTTGAGACACCAAATCTAGAGTATGAATAAAAATGTGAAACACGGCAATAATGAAATGATTATTCCAGTGCTTCTCAGGCAGGAAAATGGAGTCAGACACAATGAAAGATTTCATAAACCAGCAGAAAATCAACAATTCAAACTGGCATGTTCACATAACTTCCATCTACCAGTGAACCAATCAGACAAAAAATGAAATTATCATATGCCCACCTGTCTCACTGACCCCTGTTGTCCAGGTTTTTCCATGATATAAGTGAAAAAAAGAAAAGGAGAAGAGTAAGAGCTAGACACTATATATATATATGGTTAGAGCAACGTAATTTGGAGAATGCAATCCAGTGTAACTCCAGGTGAGAAACAAAGGTCATAAATTTGCTGGATACATGTCATTTAGTACAGCTCCATCAAGATAAAATATCACCTAATAAATTCCTTTTTGGCTGTTTTTAAATGACAGTTTTGGTACTGTGCACCTTTGTATCAGAGCAGTCAAATAGTTTCACAACAGTAAACAGGATAACCAGAGTAACAGGTAAAAAAACCCTTAACTTCTGTGGTTTTTATTTCACATCATTAAAACAAGGTGCTGAGTAGGCAGCAAATAATCCAATGGAAGCAGCAATGGTTGCTGGATCATTTTAGCTGAAGATGCTTTGTTGCTGTAAAACTTTTCATCACCACCGGTTTTTTGAAGTCGTACCACTTACTTCCAGAAAGCAGAAGAGTTCTTAGGCAGAGAAAACAGCCAACATTTCACGATGCCATCACTGGTTTCCTCGTGAAATGATGCCTGACAGAGCCAAAAAATTTGTTTCACTTCACTTGTCCATCAGACAAGAACTTTGCACATTTTGGTTGTCCGAACACAAAATCCACTCGTCCAACGAAAAAAAAAGCGCTGCCAAAACAGATTAGTTGTGGCTGACTAAGGTGTCATGACAAAAACCACTGGATAATGAACTGGCAATACCCAGAAAAAGGCTGCTACTCTTCCCACAAACAGAGGGATGTTTTCCGCAAACTGCACAAAACATTTAATTCTTGACCTCGTTAAATTCAACACAGGAAAATTCTTCATTCCATGCTTGCTTAAATGGATGGACTCAAGACTCTTTGTACATGTACTTCTCTTTTTTCGTATTTGCAGAGCTGTTTTCTTCATTTGTTTCAGACTGTCTCTCATTCCTTTCCTTACACTCAATTTTCCAGAGGTCGAACAGAATCATTGTGTTCTACTTTCAGAACGCCACGGATTTCGCGCCCTTTTTAGCCAAAACAAGCATGCAAAGGATATAAAAGTAAGGTGAAAAACTGCCTCCACGCATTGACACTAGCGGCAAAGAAACACTGTGACAATTTAAGTTATTTTTCAGTACTTTATTCTATGCAAGCTATCTACTCCAGATCTTACAAAGCTGAAAAAAAATATTGCTCACGATAAATTTTACTCGTCCAGTTGGATGAGTGCTTTATGAGTTTCAGTCATCCGAGTCCAAACCCTACTCGTCTCAGATGAGTGGACAAGTGAAAGTTTTCTGCCCTGGTAACGAGTGCAGAAAATCTATAATGATGACACAGCACTACCCAGATCTGGGAAGTGCTTCTGATTGGTCTTGTTGCAAGAGAAATTTGCCTTAACGCATGGCCATCACCTCTGTTTGCCACCATTTCCCATAAACATGACGCTACTTAACCCTTTAAGTCCCAATAGTGACCAACATCAATTTTCTCCTAACAATACATGTATCCACACAATGTCAAGAGATGAGGTTATGAGACTTAATAAAATGATCACCTAAGAGAAAATGCTTTGATCTTTTATCAAATTCTCTCAACTCATTCTTTAAAGAAATGTATAGAGATCAGTTTAAAGAATTTGTACATGTATAATGGGGCTTAAAGGGTTAACCTCTCTATTACATGCTCAGTAAGGTAAGGGTTAGCATTTGGGAAAATATGTCATCTCACTAAATAAGCTTATTTGTGATATCTATACTCAGGTTTATTTATAGCAGGCCATGTCTAAAATATTTACTTACAACAACACTTGGCTGCTGGGCAATTGCCCCTGCTTGAGCTGGACCTCGCGGAACTGCTTGCTTAGGATCAATCTTAAACCACAACAAAATGTATCACCATTGAGAAAATATTAGCTATTACCCATTTTAAAAAGTTTCTGAAAAATCTGGTTGGAAAGTATATTATGGAACACCCCTTTCTGGGTCATTCTGGCAGAAAATTTCCAAGAGTGACAGAACATCTGAAAAGGTAGTCCTGTTTTTCTGGACGCAGTGTTCCACATGGAAATTCAAGTTCCATTTCTTTAAAGTCATGTTTGATACCATTTCAGGACTTTATAGCCATTTCTCAGGAAATGGAACTTATTTGCACAAATGGTAAATGTGATTCTGGGATGACATTTATCAGTCTGGTATTTTGCCTACAATTTACCCAAACCTTCAACCAACTGGTTTGCCCATGTAAATAGTAAACAACCATTGTATCCCCCAAGGAAGAAAGATGCAAGCCAGCCTTACCGCTTTACCATCACAAATGTGGTGTTCAGTATGACTTAGTACATCATTAACTGAATTTGGATCTTTAAATGTTACAAATCCAAAACCCCTATAAATGAAGAAAAATGAAAGAATTAAATGCATTCATGTAAGCATGTATACACCTGAAGGTTGCTTCAGAGAAGAATGATGCATGATCCATGTTTTGTAGCCCGCGGTGCACTATTGTAGTAAATCTAGTAAATTATGTGCCCACAATAAGCATAGAAACCTAGAAAGCAAACGCTGCTAACGCTTCTATGTTTTGTCACGTTAAGACAACGTATTTCAAAACAGTGAATTCTAGGCTTTTTATTTCAAGACAATGATTTGAGGTTAGGTTTTTCTTTGAGGTAATATGCAAATGCTCCAAATTTTCAACGAGTTTGCTTGGCTCGTGCACGAGGGAATTTTGGATGGCATTAAAAAAATCAAATTCAAGGCGCTTGTTGAACAACAATAAATAACTTAACATTATGTGTATATCTATTTTTGAGGCAATTTTTAAAAAACTGAATAAAAAAGGAATAGCTTTGATTTGCTTTATTAAAATAACCAGCATTCTGGCCCATGCAAAAATGCAGCTTAGTCAGGTGGTAAAACCTTATTCATTTAATCTTGTTAAAAGAAGAGGCTTCTAATTTTTTCACTATGAGATTTTAAAAATGAATTTTTTCAGCTCACTCATGCTTAAGAATATTTGCAGCCATTTGACTTGAAAGTTCTCTTGAACGCCTTTTCACAAATGGTCTCCATTATTTCAATGAACATGAACAAGACTAAACTTCTCGCTACAAAAGGGTTTACCATAGTGCACTGCAGGCTATGAAACATGGTTCATGGGAGCAACCTTGATTGAAATAGGTGTATATGACATTAACAACAGCCACCATAAAAGCCGTCACTAACTGAACTCAATATTGTTTGATTGACTTCAACTGGTTTCAGTCATTAAACATAATCAATTGACTACACCAGGCATGAACATTTAAATTTGCACACTCCATTCACCATAAAATTAACTGTTGTTTGAGAAACAGTATGAATGTAAAGCAACTGCAAATTATGCTTAAGGCTGTCTAGATATCTTACGAAGCTACATGTATGATTAAACATATAGTTCTACTTCTAATTTTAAGTCAAACTGTGCTTTAAAAAAAAAATCTTGAAAAATGCAAAATAATTCATTGCGGGACACAAAGATCAGTTGATCGATCTGAAGATGTTTTTGTAGAATATCCTGTTGGTGTGATTTCTGTGGCTCTTCTTCTGGCTGTTGTTCAACGACCCATAATAATTTGTTTTAATCTTTGTCATGCTTTACAATAGAAAGTCAGTAAACTGTAATACAGAAATTTGGAGTCCATCTTTAGATTAATTGTCCCCTGCATAGGACTCACTGTTTCTTGAACTCAATAGTTCTGGACTGGAACTCATGATTTTTTACAGGATGAGTCTTAAGACTCAACATAACATACAACGTAACAAAATCACTGTTGTTCCATACCTAGGTTTCTTGGAACCTGGCTCTCTCATTACGACCACATCAGCAACTTCCCCGAATCTTGAAAAGTAATTTTTCAAGGACTCTGTGTGTAAAAGAATAAAAAACGCATGAGACAAAACTACAAGGAAAAATTACCCAAGACATTCACTTCAACTGAATGTAATTATTAGAACACAAGATACACTGTTCACGCATGCTTCACACTATCGATGCCAAGAAAGTGAAAGTGAAAGTGAAGCAATTAAAATCATACCCTATTAGGAACAAGAGAAACATGAAAAGCATAAACATACCTTCACTTGTTTCGTGGGACAGACCGCCGACAAAGATTTTGCTAAAAAAGGGAAAAATTGCCGAAATTTTCAGACCTTTTATGATGGCCACGTGTCCGCGCTTCAATACAGCGAAGCGACACGACAAGAAGTCAAGCAGACACCTTTTCATAGCATACTAAATAGCTAAAAAGGTACACTTCCAAAGCACGTCATACCCAATATCGTCTCCTCCTCCTTTCACCATTTTCGCGTGTAAATGTGGCAAAGTAAAGCTATCTTCCACGTCCTCAACAAGCTTGATCTTCGCTTCCTCGTGATGGCTGCCAATGTCAAGATCCCGGATGATGCTTACTCTCGCAACGCCTTCTGGGAAAGTCTATCATCTCGTCAACCTCGTTTCCAGGATCTCTCCTGCAGTGCAGAGAAAGATGGTTTTATTTCCAAATCGTCAAATCGTAGCCGAAGATCGAGCTTCCTGACAATTTCCAACAAGTTTTGATTTTTCTAGTAAGACTAAAAACAAGAGAGACTGTGGATAGTACGACAGGAGGTGGTTGATTAGCAATTACTCATTTTGTCGGATGAAACCTGACTTAACCTGCGAGCGGGCCCACTTGTGTTTGCAGAAAAAAAATAAAAAAAAGGAATAGGTCGTTAGTTAGTCCTCAGTTTTTGGTCTGCGACAAGAATGGCGTCGTAGCCAGGAAATACATCCGGCTACTCTTTGTTTCTGCAAAGATAAAGTATATCTGATCGAAGGAGATTGTTTAGTACAAAAATACACAGTTAAAATGTTATATTCAAGAACGACGAAACTCCCCCACAATAATTAGGCGCTTTTTTAGCTTTTTAACTTCTTACAACCTGCCCTTTCTAGTCAAGTTGTCAAGAAGTAGTTGTAATAAGCAATGAAGAAATGAATGCATAAAATCGAGAAAAAGTACGTGCCTTTCAATACCTACACAAGTTTTTCCCGTCCTTGATAGATGAGCCAATCTGCCAATTTGCTTGCGTTTCCAGTAAAATCGTCAATGTTTAGTTATATTTAGATCGGGAAACCACGTGCGTGTCAAAAGCTCCATGGCGGCCCTGGGGTTGGCACATGCCCGAACCCACCCGAACCCAAGGCCACGTAAAATTTGCTAATGCCACACCTCCGGAACTGACAAGGCGGGCAAATGCCGCCCAGTAGCCTTGGGAAGGAAGGTCGCAGCTAGAATTGACTAATATAATACAGTACTAATGCATGGAGTGGCAGAGTTGAGAGAGCACGGCTCACAATAGGGCCATATATACGAGGAAAAATAAGACGCGTCTTACATAAGACGCGTCTTAAATAAGACGCGAACTGTACCATTTATACGAGCATGTCTTATCTAATAAGACGCTTTTTAGCTAAGCCGCGTCTTATTTTAGACGAAATGTGCCGTTTATACGGAAAGTTTGCGTCTTATTTAAGACGCGTCTTATTTTTCCTCGTATAAATGGCCCTAATTATGTCGCCTCTTTCGAAAACAAAGCCCCATTTTATGCATGACCAAGTTATAATTTGTGAATAAAACCCCCTTGCCCACCTTGAGGTGTTTGCGCGCCCTACCAAACAGTGCCAAAACCGCCAGGCTACGCTTTCTTGTTAAGAAGTTTTATTTAGGAATCTCAGAAACAATTTTCATGTGATAAATGAAGATATTAACTATGAGTTGGAATTTCTTGAAAAACTCGCTCCAGGAAATTATAACGAGAACCCACCCATCATCTTCAAAGAG